GAGAGAGAGAGAGAGAGAGAGAGAGAGAGAGAGAGAGAGAGAGAGAGAGAGAGAGAGAGAGAGAGAGAGAGAGAGATTGTGTGTGTGTGTGTGGAAATTCTAGATTGAGAAAGAGGGGCCAAGAGAGGTATAAGCCAATATATAGAAACACAAAAGGTGGCAATTCCGAGAAAAGAAACAAAGGACGAGCAAGAGAGATACGAGAGGGGGAATTTCTAGACAGAGACACATAAGGGGTACTGAGAATGGATCCCTATCTCTTTCTCCTCTAGATTTGTAATTAAATGGAACTTCATGCAATAACAGATTATCAAGGAGACCATGTCAAGGAACTGCATTTTGCTTAAATTTCTGTCTTTATCTTTGTATCTTAGGTTGTTTTAAGAAGGAAAATACTCAGGAAGAAGAGACATAACAAACCCAAATAAGGAACTGAAGAAACAACACCAAATCATGGAATTCTCTCTCTTTGTATCTGTCATGAGGACCTTCCTGTTTCACCCCTTTGTTTGGCTCAGATATCCAAGCCGAATTGACCCGAATCTTTACGCTATGGATCGATAGCCAATTTGAGAGAGCCCAAGTACATTCCTTTAAGAAATTGATTTTCCAGAGAGATCCTGTGGTGGTTGAAGCTTAGAACGTGGAGGGAGTAAGGTATTTTTGCTCATAGTTGGAGATAAAAGATAGAGGGGAAGGAAAATTGTGAGGAAGGGGATAGTTGAAGGTTTAAAGAGAGGAAGTAGGGTGCTTGAGGTGAATAAAAAGAGGGTTTTATTTGAATGCTGCATTATCTCTCTTTGTGCCCATAGTGTCACTCTTCAGATGCACAGAGAGTGGCTGCAGGCTTAACTTCCTTCTCAGTGGTTTATGTACTTTCTCATGCTTAGGGTTTATGGGATACTTGCCTTGAGCCGTTTTTTGCTATGAATATGAGCAGTTAACATGGTTGTGCAAAAATTCATTCACCTGAATCCCACAAATAGTTTTGTGCGACTCTCTAGGTTCTGTTTAATAATCTTCAGTGCAATTTTTTTAGGAAGTCTGGGCTATGATAGAAATGTTGAAATCATTGTTTGTACCTACATCTATCAATGATGGCTCTAGGCCGTTACATACGTAGTACACAAGTATTTGGATTTATAGGATCATCACGTCTTTTACCATTACAAAAGGTGTCGTTTTCTTAACTGCTCTACTTTATTATCAAGTTATTAAACTCTACTGTGATACCATATAAGTTGAATGTGTAAATAAGATTGTGTTACATTTCCAAATATTTTTGTGGATCATATTTTGGATTTTTTCATGCTAAGGGTGTAATCATCCTTTGTAGATAATTGGCTTACGGTTATTTTCTAATGTATTGCGAAGATTGTAGATTATGTCTTTATTCTCAGTTGAAGGATTGTGAAGGCAGTTATGTCATTTGGTCATTGGTCACTTCTATATACACCCTAGGGCCTTCACTATTCACCTAATGCTAGTTATTCTATCTAGCTCCCAATGAATTTGACAGGGAATCAAAGCTTTTGTGCGACCAGATATAGGGTTTTTTAATACCAGCCCTTTGATTGAAGGTTAAGTCCATCATTGGTTCAGGGGTTGCGGAAATCTTTAGCATAGGACTGAATATCAAGGAAAGGATTGAAGATTTAATAGAAACTGTTGAGGATAAGGCCGAAGATAGGGAAAGCAAATTCAATGTATGACTGAAGATTAGCGAATTTGGGGAATTTTTTTTGTCAATTTGGTTATTACACAATCTCTTTGAGCTGGAATTTGTTCGTGGATATGAATATGGAGAAACCAAGAATATATCGATGTAAGTTTCTATTCGAATTAATTTGTCCTTAGAAACTTTGGGTTCAAGGCATATTTGGAGAAAATTTGTCATGAAGATAATAAAGCTGGTCACTTTGAAGAGGTGAAAGTTATGGGTATGGAGTTTTGCATGAGTAAACAATGGCATAGGATAGAAAAACCATGACACCCTTTGCTTGCCTTTGAAATATCAGGGGAAATTGAGATTAAATTGTTTTCATATCCAGTTTGTCCAGCAATTATGATCATCATCCAAGCCTCATCCTGATTATTTGTGGTGGGTTCCATGAACCCTATTCCTCCATTCTTCTCTATCAAGGGCCATACCCTCAGCAACACAAAAAACATAAGTTCAAGATTAATGATAAGAAATTATAAATATTTTGAAATTAACATGTGCAACGGAAAACATAATAGATATGTTGGATTGTTTAGGTATTCTTGGTCATAGAGCATGACATGTGTATCTTATTGGTTCAAATGAGTTAATGCTAAATCAACTTAAATAAAAAAGAAATCACTAAGAAATCTCGGTCTGATTGTTTTTACCAACAACAGCAGTAGTTTTATTTTATTTTAGTTATTTATTTTCACGTATGGCTAAGATGTGCATAAAACTCAAGGTTTGTAATTGGAAATTATTAGAGGACTTTGGTGGACCTTTATGGCACTTATTAGCTACTTAATAGACTAATTCTAATCTTCAATCGAAAGACAATGTGCAATAAGTAGTTTCAATTAACTATTATTTGGAATATGGGTTGTCATAATACAGACAATTGAGCAGTAAAGGATATGTAGTCAAAGGCATAATTACAAAGATCCAAGACCAGACTAGAATGGTGGTCCAATCAGTCGAATTGCCAATTGATATACCTTGGCTTTTCTGGTCTAGTGAAAAATTGGGTATGGTTCAAAACTAGCGTTTGACTGGTTTTGGCTGGTCTATCGGACTGGTTTTGACCAATTCAACCATCCAAACAAATTGGACAATTTTTTTTCCTAATATATTACATATTTTTAAATTATTATTCATATATTTTTAGTACTTTTAAAATCCAGTCAAACTGGTTCGACTAGCGGTCGGAATGGTTTTGATTGGACCATAACCCCTCACCGATTTGGTGGCCATTTCGATATTGACAACATTGGCCAAATGTGCTCGCTGAAACATGTCGTTGTTGGAGGTGCATGTGCAATATGGAGATATGTGGATGGGTGAATAGCACGTGAGGAGAGTAGTTGGGATGAAGATAGATATTCTTCTAAATACATCAAACTTTTGCTGGCATTATAGATTTGGGGATGAGAAGCATAGTAAGATCAAAAATGATATCAAACCATAGTTCTTTGGTTTTTTTTGAGGTCTGTTGAAATGTAATCTTACAATACATGTAACCTATACTTCCTTCTCACCGGCTCATCCAGTTGCTTATGATTAAGGGTTGTGTATACTGATTGAGAGTGATACTGGCCCACCTTTTTCAACATCAAATATGGAGATTAGAGTAGAGACAGTTGAATGGTAAAAGATATATAGTCTATTGTGCTCTGTGAAACATGCCATTGTTGGAAGTGCATGTGCACTGAAGAGGTACATGTATTGGCAAACAACATGTTAGGGGGCTTGTGGGGATGTAGAGGGTTATTTTTCTGAACTAGTCACATGTGAACACATTAAACTTCATGCGGGCGTCACAGATTGTGGGAAAGGAAATATATTATGGTCCAATGGGATGTGAGAAACCATAATTCATTGAAGTTGTGATGTCCATTGAAATATAATTTGCCACACATGTGGTTTAGTTTCTTACGAAGGTTGTGGATACTGATTATCCAGAAACTGAAGAGGAAAGGGTTGTGGATACTGGCCCACGAAACCTATTTTACGTCAAATAAGAGATTTAAGTGTTTCTGTCACTTTCTGCCCAAACATTACTTGTGATTCTGTAGGCAGTGAAGAAAAAATCACTCACCCGGTTGCCTAGGCGGGCTATGGCTTGTAATCGGATTAAAATGGTTTACCTTTACTGAAGTTAGGAAGATATCTAGATAATAGAAAGAATCATTCAAGGAAAAAATCTTTCTGAATACTTACAGACCAGCAGCATTTTTTTGGTATATATGGGGCAAGACTTGCATGTGACTGTCACTTGTCAAAGGTGGTAAAAAAATATCAGTGTTGGAAACTTGCTGAGTTTACTCAGACTCGGGCGAGTTACCTGAGCATCATACATAAACCCAATTTAGTACATGGGGTAGAACTGTATAGACTAGCTTAAGTAGCTTACAAACATGGGATGACTCCCCCAAGTTTCTATAGTACTCGGACAAGTCACTATGACTATAGTACTAATCCAAGCAGTGTACATGTGAATTTGAAAGGAGGGGCGGCTGGAGTTCCCCCGTTTTTTACTTCAGTTTCTTGAATTTGAGCCTTAGTGCTTACTATGATTTTGGCCTGATCTATCCATTAGAAACATTTTATTTGAGAAGAAAAATATTTGATAGATTTTTTTGATAAAAAAATTTGGCCAAGTTTTTAGTCAATTTGAAGAATTGCAATTTCTTCTCAATTGATGGTTGATTTTCGATGAAATTTTTGTTCTTAATGCAACCATATGCTTGATTAACCAAAACAGACAAAATTTTTAGGATATGAGAGATTTCAAATTAAGATTTACTTCTCAACCACTTTTTTCAAGAGTTCAAATCTTCTAGATTCGAGCTCGAAACTCAAAACTCGTTTGGGGTTCAATTGGGGTTATGTGAGGAAGCTTTGAAAAGGATTTGAGGCATTGATTTGCACTGAGCATGAAATCGGAGGATCGGCCTTGAAAATTTAGAGTACGTTTCATTTTCAATTTAGATTTATAAAACTGATTTTTTTTTTACTATAGCAATTATGATTGATTCTGTATATACTTTTAATTTTTTTACTCATTTTAGTACTTGTTTCAGATTTTTTATGATTTTTCTATTTTTTCGATTATTTCATATTTTGTTGTAATTTTTTCATTTTTCTGGTCCTTGTTTTGGCTCGGGCCAGACGTGGGGGAAGTTGACTTGAACTTGCCCAAGTTATTTGGCTCGGAAAGGGACGAAGCCCTGGCCCAACTATGGAATTCAAAATTTGACAAATGCAGTTCATGAACCGAGCTCTGAGACAATCCATATGTAAGGAATTTTGAGTTGTGAAGAAGCCATGGGTTTAAGACTTCGGTGGACCTGTTGTTTTGTATAACTACATGTATTTATAAGCTAAATCTGTTATTTAACAGATATACAATATAAAACGAGTAATCTCTGTTTGTTTTGCTTTGGAATATGGTACAAAGCAGTGAAGATAAAAGTTATATGATCTACTATGCTCTATAAAACTTGCCATAGTTAAATGCGGAATATGGAGATATATGGAAGGATGCTTAATTACACCTTAAGAAACTAGCAGGCATGAGGATAGGTATTTGGCCAAAGCCGCCAAACTAGAGACAAATGAATCGATTTCTATGCTGGAGTCAAAGCATACACTATTGAAAACCACAGTTTATTGGGGTTGTAATGTCTGACGAAATGTGATCTTGCCTTACAGGTGATTACCTTTTTTCCTTTGATTTAATATAGGTGTCATTACTTTTTTACGAACATCTCTTTTATTCTCTTTGCTCTGTGTTCTTTCTTAACTCTCTTTTGGTGGTTTTTTGCTTAATGATCACTTCTGCATGTCTTCCAACGAGGATATATGATTTAATGGTTCTTGTGTTATCCCTGTTGAGAACCTATGTTTGTTTCCATGCCTTTCCAAATTTGCCTCTTTAGTTTTGATGGATTTCATTCCTTGCATTTAACTAAACAATAATATTATGTGCATGTAGTGATCAGCGCTGATTTGTTTGACCAATCAGCTTTTCTGTTGGTCATTTATGTTGTATCATTTTACCAAATTTTTACCTTCTAAAATTTACAAGTACTGCAGGTTGTAATGTCTTTTCATGAATGTGGAGGCAATGTTGGCGATGATGTATGCATTCCCTTGCCTCACTGGGTGGTAGAAATTGGGAAATCGAACCCAGATATATTCTTCACAGATCGAGAGGGAAGGCGCAATCCAGAATGTCTCACATGGGGCATCGATAAAGAGCGGGTTTTGAGAGGCAGAACTGCCCTTGAGGTGAGATCATACTCATTCTCTTGTTTGCCATCTTCATGGTTATGAAAGGGAGGGATTGGGATCAAAGTTTAGGAACTTCTAGTTTTGAACAAATCACCAGGCAATGTTTTTAAAAGATCTACAGAATGAAGTTCAAATGCAGTGATAAAATTGTTTTAATGTTTTTTTTATCTTCTTTTATCAACTCTGTTTTGATTCCTTGTAGGTATATTTTGACTTCATGAGGAGCTTTCGTGTCGAATTTGATGAGTTTTTTGCTGATGGTGTTATCTCAGAGATAGAGATAGGTTTGGGTCCCTGTGGGGAACTAAGGTATCCATCCTATCCTGTGCGACACGGATGGAGATATCCAGGCATTGGGGAGTTTCAGGTAAAATTTTCATTGGTTTTTACATGCTGTTGTAACTGAATATGTTCTGTTTATAATATTGCATCATGGAGTAAACATTCTTTGATAACCCCTTTCATTGTTGCTACTGTGTGTGTGTGAGAGAGAGAGAGAGAGAAAGAAAGAGAGCAATTTTTTTTTTTAAGTTTTTGTCTTTTCTTTGTTTGCAGTGCTATGATCAATATCTTTTGAAGAGTTTGAGAAAGGCAGCAGAAACAAGGGGGCACTTTATTTGGGCAAGAGGACCAGATAATGCGGGCTGTTATAATTCACGGCCGCATGATACTAGTTTTTTTTGTGATGGGGGTGACTATGATAGTTATTATGGAAGATTCTTCCTTGGATGGTATTCCCAGGTTTTAATTGACCATGCTGACCGAGTTTTGGCCCTTGCTAATCTTGCATTTGAAGGCACTCGAATTGCTGCGAAAGTGAGTGTTCCTTCTTTGAACTCATTTTAAGTCCTTTACTTTTTTAAGTTTCTTTCTTTTTGCTTTTCCTCTATGTTTTGGAATATCATGTGTCTCTGCGAGATCAAAATTGCATCTGTAGTGAATAGCGGTAATCCAGAAAAAGCTGTGCTCTCCTTGATCTCTGGTTTTTCGCTTCTTATGACCTGATTTGTCTTAGTATTTGTCATTGAATTTTTCATCAAATTAGTCTCTAAATCCATTGCCTTCTTTTGTAAGACTTTGACCACTCTCCAAATACATTGTTGTGCAATCTCTTCTCTCTCGAAATGCATTGTTATGTGATCTGGCATTGAATCTTAATATTGTGGCGGACAGCTTCATACTGAATCACAGTTGATATACATTGTTTCCAAAACTAATTATGTTTACTAATATTGGTTAGCGATTGATAACTGAGAAAACCAATTCGGTTTTATGCCAGGAAGGTCAATAACCGAGGCTATTTTCCTACTTGGGCAACTGATTGAGAAGTTTAGGGCGAAGGAAAATGACCTCCACATGGTCTTGATTGATCTAGAAAAATTTGTGATAGAGTACCTCGGGATTTGATTTGGTGGATGTTGGAAAAGAAAAGAGTATCCATACGCTACATCGACTTGGTGAAAGATATGTACGAGGAGTGCTAACAAGTGTACAAACAATTAGTGGAGAGACGAGTGAGTTTTCAGTGAGAATAGGTCTACATCAGGGGTCAACATTCAGCCCATACACTACATCGACTTGGTGAAAGATATGCACGAGGAGTGCTAACAAGTGTACAAACAATTAGTGGAGAGACGAGTGAGTTTTCAGTGACAATAGGTCTACATCAGGGGTCAACATTCAGCCCATACCTCTTTGTCTTAGTTATGAACAACTTAACTAGGCACCCACAAGATGAGATACCATTGTGCATGTTGTTCGCAAATGGCATAGTTTTGATCAATGAGACCTGAAAAGGCGTTGACATAAAGTTAGAATTTTGTAGGGATGCTCTAGAATCTAAAAGTTTTAAAATTAGCCAGACTAAGACAAAGTTTATGGAATGCAAGTTCAATAATAATAGGAGTAGAGACGATGAATTAGTTAAGACTGACAGTCAGAAGATACCAAAAGTGGCATACTTTTAATATCTTGGGTCAATAATCCAGGAAAATAAGGAGATTGGGACGATGACGCACACAAAATTAGAGCTGGGTGGGCGAAATGGAAATGTGCAACCGCAATTTTATGTGATTGCCGCATACGAGTGAAGCTGAAGGGAAAGTTCTATAGAAGTGTTGTGAGACCAACTTTGTTCTATGGGGCGGAATGTTGAGCGGTCAAAAAAACAATATGTCAATACATTGAGTGTAGCGTAGATGAGGATGTTGAGATGGATGAGTGGTGAGACAAGAAGAGATAGAATTTAGAATGAATTGATTCGGAAAAATTTATGTGTGGCACTAATAAGCGAAAAGATGAGAGAGAGTAGTAGACATAGGTGGGTTGGCCATGTGTGGTGCAGATCCAGTATAACACCTATTAAGAGGTGCACCTTAGTTTAAGCGGAAGGCTAAAAAAGGGCAAGGATTAGGCTCAAAAAGACATATTTGGAAGTAGTGAGACAATGTATGGGGAGTTATGGCTTCACTGAGTGTGTGACTTATAATAGAACAAAATGATAGACTAGGATTCATGTAGCTGACCCCAATTAGTTGGGAAAAGGCTTTGATGATGATGATAATGATGATTGATAACTGAGAAACCGTTTTTTATTTTTATTTTTCTTTTTTTGACCTAGTGATATAAAATTTTCCCTATTACTTGATTTTTGGAATAATTTTCGATTTACCACCATAAATTTGTCAAATTGTAAGATTATTCAATGAATATAGTGTATCAGTTTCACTGTATCTTGTTTAGTCTATCATTCATTAAATTGTGAAAGATTTAAAAAAACAAGCTGTGTGTGTGTGAGAGAGAGAGGGAGAGAGAGAGGCTATCACGAGCTATTCAAATTAATAAGCTTTGTGACTGACAGATCTCTGGCATCCATTGGTGGTATAAGACAGCCAGCCATGCGGCTGAGCTGGCCGCTGGTTTTTATAACCCGTGCAATAGGGATGGATATTCTCCAATAGCTCAGATGCTTAAGAAGCATGAGGTCGCTCTAAACTTCACGTGTGCAGAGTTGCGAACTCTTGATCAGCATGAAGACTTCCCAGAGGCTCTAGCTGATCCTGAGGGCTTGGTGTGGCAGGTAATCTTTTTCTGTTTGTGTGTGTGTGCGCACGCTGGTATGGAGAGAGAGAGAGAGAGAGAGAGAGAGAGAGTAGTAGTTAGTTAGTTATTAGTGTAGTAGTACGTACGTTCGTTGTTCGTGTCGTTAGTTAAGTAGTAGGACGCGTAGGTTGTTAGTAAGTCGTCGTCGGTCGGTAGGGTA